GAGGCCATTGATTTACCCTTAGCTTTTGATAGGGTAAGTTTCTATTTGATGCATTCGTCGTTGCCTACAGGGATTCCTTCAAAACATCTTTGTTAGTCACAACAGCAATGTTCTTCCCTGGCCTGTTAATTCCTTGCTCATTGGCTTCCCTTTCCAAAGTTTGAAGAACAGAATCCTTGTCCCCAGAATTATTTTCTTCACCTGCCAATATATAGAATCTTGAACCAGGTATGGGTGCCTCTTTAATGTTTCCTTCCAGTGTCAAGATCCTCTGTTTAGATTTGGTGCCTCCCTTTACTTTATTTCCATTGTTTCTCCTATAGGTTTTCTTTGCAACCATCCACGGGACAAAACGCGATGATTCATAATCTTTTTCTAGATATTTTTAGCTAGCTTTTACGTTTGTTCCTCTAAATATCCCTCTTCTTCCTATTACCTCATTGGACATAACTCTGTACTAGGGCCGAATTTCCCGCAATGGAAGCATATCATTCTCAGCCCTTTATACTCTATCTTCTGCCATCTTCCTCTTATGTAAACCTCGACCACTAAAGGTTTAGATAGATCAAGTTCTATGCATATTCTAGAAAATTTACCTCTCGTAACATAAGTGGTGGTCCAATCTACCTTCAATGTTTTCCCTAATATATTTTTGATTTTTGTCAATACACTCCTATCATAGAACTCTAGAGGCATTCCTGGTAATCTGATCCGTGCTGCTATTGAGTCAACGGAGGCTTTATTTGATCTAAAGCCCAATGTCCATCTTTGGATGGTAAGATAATGATTGACAATAATCCAAGGACCTTTTGATAAAACATGGTTATAGTTGGATTTTTTGGAAAACTTGAAGAATAATAACCATCGTCCAGATCAATGGCTTGAAGGTCTCATTCTAGGGACCATAGCTGCTTCACTTTATTGCACAAGTAAGTATAACTTACATATCTCCTTAGTAGCTTCACAATTGGGGTTTTTCTTCAAGGCGTCCTGATCCTTTCCTTTTCTTCTTTGGTCAGTTTAATATACGGTCCTTCTATATCTAGTTCAAACTCATCATCATCCAACTCGAGTTCCTCCATGAACTAGCCCTCTTCTCCTAAATCTTCATTATTTGACATGTTCTCCTTGTCATCATGCATTAAGATGTTAGGATATTGTGACCTTAGGACCTCATCTTGCACTAGTGGGTTCTGGTCGTCTCAGTCATTTGGATCGCCACACTTCTCATTGCTTTCCAGCCTTAACCTTCCTCTTTTAATTCCTACTCTAACAACTTCTCTCCCTAAGCTTCCATCAGCGTTCGCTGAGGGGACTCCAGATGAGTCCGCCTCCATGCGGCAACAACTAGGGTTTTTCAAGTTTTGGTGTGAGATAGCAAGTTCTGTTTAACATGCGCCCGAGAGAAAAACTTACCTAAATACTTATTTCAAGATTTAATATTTATTAAATTTTTTATTTCAAGATTGCATATTAATTTGAAAAAGAAAATAAAATGAATCTTGAAATGAAATATTTGTAAATGTTAGAGTTAAAATGATTATTTAAACTCTACCGATAAACATTAATTTGATGTAGGAAAAATTATATGGCATTGGGAGATATGCGTTCCGCATGCATCTTGATGAATTGTTAGGTGTTTTGCCTAACTTTAATTTGAATTTTTAGTTCCTCTACCGCGCGCACGGGTAGCAAAATGCATACTACATAAACAATTGAATTTATTATTATTATTAGCAGTACCTTTTGCGGTTGGGATGGGTGGCCGTGGATGCATTGCATGCTAATTTAAAACTTCCCAGTTGAGAATATAATTAAGGCCAGCGCCAGCACATGAAGAAGCTGCACCGTCACAATAACAATATAAACTTAAATTGGGGTTACTGTTCAGCCAAGTCCAATTGTGGCCCAATGGGGTCCCAAAATAATGGTTCATGACTTGATGGGCATTGATGAATGAGCAGACAGACACGCGATAAAAGGAAACTTACAGATGTTGAAAGAATGCTTTCTTTTAACATCAGACTTTTGGCTGCATGCTTTTGCCAGCCCCACTAAGGTTCTTTCCACGCAAATGATCTTCTTTGCCCACCAAATTAACATTGATGTGCCACATGTGGCAATGTGCATCCGCTCTCTGTTTCTTCAATCTTGTTATATCCCCTACTCTTACCATACTCGTTTCTTTCTTTTTTCTTGAAAACACTAGGATCAAATTTTAATGTGTGAATAAAAAGATTCATTTCTCACAAAATTATGATTATTTTTATACAGTAAATGTTTATCTTTTTCAAAACAATATTCTTTGTACCTAACTCAAGAATTTGTAACATGCTTTTCTTTGGGGGGTTTTTTTTATGTTATACAATTTTTTGTTTACTAAACGAGTTCATTATCATTTTAATAAATTTAGTTTCATTTTCAAATTCATATCAAAGATTTTTTATGTAATTAATATGTTTTAGAATTTAATTTACCTATTGCTAAATATATCTGTCCATATTTGTGATTAAATCATTTAATTTTACCTTATACCCAAGAAATAAAACCTTAATAATTTACAAATTTTTATTTTTATGCAATGTTGGATTTGTTATTATTTTTAATTAAATATTATGGTTATTTTGATTAAATTAAAAAAATATATATTTGAATTTATGTGATATCAACATGATGATCTCTAAATTTTTAATGATTAATAATTCTTATTTACTAGCTGATGTTATAGGAGTTGCTTGGCTTAGAATGATGTGATAAGTTATCTTATTTCTACTATATATAAAAAAAATTGATAATCAAATATGATAATTTTAAATCACCCATAATAAGATTACCGTAATTATAAATTACCACACTGATCTTCAAAATAATATCAAACGTCGCCTAAAGAATAAAGACACGAAATAACAGTTGGAGTGTTGTTTGTCTATAAATCGGGTTTTGGGTTTTAACAAAAATCTCACACGGCTCTCTCGTTTGCCACTCATTTTGAAGTTCAAATATTGCAAATTAACTCCCATGTTGATCTTAAAATAGACCATTGGTGAGATTGCCTCCATGTGACTGATATATATATATATATATATATATATATATATATATATATATATATGTATACTAGTATTTGTAAAATACCAAACAAAAGAGTAACGTTTGAATACAAAGCTATAAGCCCTTCTCTAGTTTTCATCGTGAGATCGAGGTTAATTAGCTACATTCTTTTTTTGTACATAACATATGAAGCTCATAGATTTCTCAGTTTTGACTCATTTGATGCGAAAAATATTTTACATCCTAAAAAAGTCATGAATTTACACTTAACGTTAATAAAAAATTATCAGTAACACTTGAATTTACAATCATTCATGATTAAAACAAAAAAAAAATTATCAATTGAACTAACATTTTGTGATGAGGTTAATTAACTTCAATCATGTAATAGAATTAGATTATCTTTTTTTCAAAAAGTATTATGAAAGTTGGGAATTTTTTTTTAAAAAAAATGAAGGATAAACAAAATCTGGCTTCACTTTGATATGTTTACTATTTTCATGTTTGATTAACAATTATTTTTAGTCATTACTTATTTTGAAAATTTCTTTTAGTTGTCACTTTTATTATATACATTTTACTTCCTCAAATTCTACTATAAAATGAAAATATCTATATATAAGTAAAAGCATTCTTGCTTAAAATGAGTAAATAATTTAAAAAAAAACCAATCCAAGTATAATATATAATTTCCTATCCTATAAAGTAAAATGATGGCTGATGTTTTCAGTAAATTGCATATATTATATGTCTTGCTCGGGTTTAGGTTTGAGTTTGGGTCAATTAATCAGGTATACATGACTTGAAAAACGAGTTTTACGCTACCTCTCTGATTCGGGTAAAGCCTGGATAGTAACTTTTAAATATTACTCGAGTATTTATAATATTAGAATATCTTGATAAATGATAGGATTCAAATATAAGCAGTTAAACAATAGCAGGTACTCATTCCCTTGCAATTCCTAATTTGAATTGAAATGAAATGTTGTTTGCCTTGTGATTGTAGTATAAATTACGAACATTGGTAGATTGGGTTCCATATTAAATTTAATATTTTTAACTATCACTTGGTCTGTGAAATTAATCCATTTTGGATATATATTAATTAGTAGCACCGATTTTTCCGATATCAAATTATAGTGAATGGAAAATTTCCCCAAGAAGATATTTTTATAGATACCGGAACATATTCAACAAGCACATTTATATTAATTCAACGTAATATCAAGAGAATAATTGACATTACGCTGATCCTTTCAAATCCCATAACTTTTGTGAGCAAATAGAATATTAGAATTAATAAACCAGGCTTAACTATGAAAAAAATTTCTAACTCCAATTTTATACTAGCATGGTGTCGTCAATCTTTTATTTTAATGAGATTGTAGGAACAAGTACAAACTATAATTACAACGGAATAGCAAAATAATCGAATAAATATAAATCATTGCATCAAGTATAATAAATGACCAAACGAACATATGATTAGATAAAATTTAATATATAATTAAATAAAATTCATACGTAATAAGATTCGAATTTAAGAGCTTGAGATTTGAGAGACAAGGCTTATTGATTATCATCAACTTTCATTTGAATTACTTATTCTAGCAATACAAACCCTTTTCACAATATTAATTACTTATTTCAAAGTTATCCTTTTTGTTAATGCGCTATCGGAGTGGCTTAGAAAGGGGAATTCAAGCATGCATGGAAAGTGCGAGGATGTATGAAAAAGCAAAAGCTAAAAGGGGTATATGCATCAAAATCATCAGAACAAGATTATGGGTCAAAGCTGCTCTAAAGGTAACATATGTAGGACAGGTTATTCTTTAACATCCTTCGTGTCTGTGTCTGTACCATAAAGTCCAGGTCGTATTATTATAATAAATAAATTTATACATCTCTAGTTTCTGATCTCCATTCTTTCCCTGATCTGTCTACCTTCCAAATTTCAACCACTAACTTTGCACCAAAAACACATAAAATTGACCTCTCTCTGACTCCCTCCCTCTCCCTCTCCCTCTCCTCCTCCTCTTCTGTCATTTTCCTTCTCTCCTCTCACTTCCATCAATTACTATTATTACCTTGTCTTCTTTTGTTCGCCTTTTCTTTTCATACTAAATTATTACTATTGGATATCACGTTTGATTCAACGTTCATCTATAAAATATTCTACTATTCTTTAATAAAATCACGTCCAACAGCCCCTCCCCCTTCCTTCTACTTAAAAGATTGGTGTCTTTTTGTTTTATTGAATCAACTTAGTACATAGCAACATTTCCCTTATGGCTGAACAAGCTCATCTTGTTCTTCTTCTTTCCGTGCTGTTTTCTCTCAATGCGGCTGTTTTATCATTTCAGAAGCAATCCAAGATCAGCGCAGTTGATCTGGCGGCATTGTCAGCCATCAAGGACAGCCTGACAGACATTCCAGGCTCAAGATTCTTCTCCACTTGGGACTTCACCGCACCAGATCCTTGCTCCACATTCACTGGCGTTACCTGCTCTTTTGACGATCGTGTCACCATTCTATCGCTCGGCACTGGCCTCTCCGACTCACCTGGTCTCGCTGGCTCACTCTCCCCTGCTCTGTCTAATCTTACGGAGTTAACCCAACTCGTCCTCTTCCCTGGTCTCGTCACCGGTCCCATCCCTCCCCAACTGGGTCAACTCACTCGTCTCCGAGTCATTTCCTTAACCGACAACCGCTTAACAGGACCCATACCAACCTCCTTTTCTAGTATCCCATACTTACACACTCTCGATCTGAGTTCAAACCAACTTACTGGGTTAATCCCGCCGGGTCTCACAAAGCTTCCATCTTTGAAAGTTCTCATACTGAGTTCAAACGAGTTTAGCGGCGAGTTACCCAGGACAGTATCGGCGCGGCTACTACACATGGATTTGAGGAAGAACAATATCAGCGGACCGTTGCCGAAGTTGCCGTTAACTCTCCGTTACTTGTCAGTGTCGGACAACTCGATGTGGGGTCCACTCAACGGCCTGGAATCACTATCCGAGTTAGAATACCTCGACGTTAGCATGAACAAATTTAGTGGGCCCATCCCAAATTCACTCTTCTTTCATCCGACGCTGTCTTCATTGTTTTTACAAAGGAACAATTTATCGGGTGCGCTCCCATCGATAAACATGGACCCCACGTTTCCATCCTACGGTGAGGGATCCATCGTGGACTTGAGCCATAACTTCATCACGGGGGAAATAACCCCGGTGTTGGCTGGAGTCGAGACATTGTTTCTGAATAATAACCATCTGATCGGATCAGTCCCTGAGGAGTATGTTAAGAGCGTGTATAGTGGCACCACTAAGACATTGTATTTGCAACATAATTATTTATCCGGATTCCCATTACCCCATGGTGTGGCTTTACCTGACACGGCGTCGTTATGCTTGTCTTACAATTGCATGCTGCCGCCGGTGGGGTTATCAGCCTGCCCAGCTAGTGCCGGAAGGCAGCCGTCAAGGCCGGAATCCCAATGTTCAGTATTCAGCCATCATAGCTCCATGGACTGAGATCAGATAAGCTCGATCTTTATACGTTTGATTACAGGAAGCAATAGATTGTAAGTTTATTACGAGTACTATTATTGTTATAGTAATTGTGTGTACCATCTTTCTCTTTTGTTTTTATCTTCCACTATTATGCTCCTAAATGAGTGATAAATTAAGCAGTTAAAAGCACAGGTTAATTTTAGGCTTTTAGCTGCCTGCCTTGCCTTGCCTTGCCTTGCCTTATAGGATTATCTTTTTGCGTTTTTTAACGTGTATGGATACATTTGCCATTAATGGTTTACGTGAAAGGTATGAATGGGAATGAGGGAGGTGTACCGTGTACAATCCATTACAGTACGAATTTATTGAAGTTTGTCAAGTTTGGAACAATGACATTGTGTTTGTGGTCCAGACGTGCTTCTTTGTCAATGCATGCGATCCAACCCATCAATTCCTTCTTAAATTGTCTGTCTCTGTGCTATATGGGGTCTAAAGCAGCCAATGCGTTGCCCATCTCTCTTCAAATTCACTTATTTTCCATTATTATATATTCAGTTAATTAAAAACATAAAAAATTTTAAAGGAAAATTTTAAACCTATATTATTAGAGAAAATTGAACAAAGGTTGAGTTGTTCTTATTCAGTTTTTTTTTTTTTTTTTGTTTTGAAAGGCAAAAGGAGTATAGTTGCATTCATTAACAGAACAAGGGTCAGAGTCTCAGTCCAAAATCAAACACCGCAGCATGACAACATTCAAAAAACAGGGATCTGCGGCAACTCAATCTCTTGACGATGTTTCAAGAAAGGTTGATCAAGCAAAAGCTAGCAAAATGTAACCCTGTACAAATCTCCTAAGTCAGACTCATCTCCTGCACTGTACATGATGTTCACCAAAGACAACTCAAAAGCAAGAATGTGTTTCAAGATCACAACAAACCATCAAACCAGAAAATCAAAACCTGCAAGCTACACCTGCGACTCCCCATTAGTGAGCATCAGTGTTTCATTATCACTTGCTGCATCAGCGTTGACCGACACGAATTCTTGTGTTCGTTGCACGCCGCCTTTAGCAAGCTGGTCGACAGCATCATTTGCAAACCTTAACACCTGTCCTATTTGCCAAGATAAAATTTTCTCAAACGTTTTTGTGATTAGGATAATGTGGTGTCCGAATTTGTTATACTTATTCAGTTATTTGTATTCATAGACAAACTCCATAAGCAATTCATTTCTTCTTTACAAAATAATCAAGATACTTCGAGGTTGTTTAATATTAAAGCGTATGATATTGTATATATTCAAGACTAGTTCAAATTATGTCATCCATAACTTCCAAATCCGAAATCAATTAGGCAAACAAATTTATCAATTGAACTAACCTTTCCTTGGTTCTACAAACTAACTCTCCTTGATTCTATAAGTAACTAATTAATGATTAAATTTGATATACTGTTTTAAGTCTATATAATCACAAATTTTTAATATATATATATACAACCCCCGCAATGATTGCTGAATATTTCTTAAAATGATAGAAATATGAGCGAGGGCTGCCAGTCCACCACATTTTCAAGTCCCCTCATCACTTACAAAAAATATCAATTAAGTGGGGTACTTTACGGGATCCACAGAGGCGAAGGGGTGGGGGGTTTTGTAGGGCCCCGCCCCAAGTTTTCAAAATTTTTAATTTTTTTTTTAAATTTTTAAATTTTATATTTATTTTTTAAAAAATTTTATAATTTTGTCTCTGTAAACATTGAAGATACTGTTTTCGTTCCTACAAACTTAAAACCTTGATTCCGCCACAAGAGATTCACATAAAGTTTCTTATTAGAATTTCATAATGGTAGAATTGTTATTATTAAAATTTATACAATAAAATTTCGATAAATTAATACTTGATAAATTAATAATCTTAATTAAATAATATTTTTTATTGATCTCGACTTGAGACCAATATGGTAAATCAATAATTCGTTAAGTTTATAAGATAATATATTTAAAAAAAATACATAAGTCTCACTTGATATATAAATTAATAATCTCTTCATACATCAAAATCATATATACACTTGATTTAATTAAGAGGTTTTTGTAAAATATGATTATAATGTTACTTGTTTTTTCTTAAAATTGATATCTGCTTGGACCTCATCTTCGACTTTCTTAATACATTAAGAAACGTTGCTGGAGTATTCTCCTATTGTAAGAGAAATTTGATATTGGCTAATAAATGCTCTGTTTACCTCTTGATCGTATTTGATACTGTTGTTTGGCTCACTTGTAAGTTAAACTTTTCTTACACTCGTTTTTGTAATTATTTTTGGGTGAAATTTGAATTTTCTATATTGTATTCATACAATACTTTACACATTTCATCAATCATTGTTGATTTCATTACATCATTAAGATGAGAATTTATTGTATTTAGTTTTACTGTTTGTAATTGTGCATTTTTATAGATGTTTTTGCTTAACTTAATGTTCATCACTATATTAATTAAGTGTATATCGAATGTAATTTTAGTTTGTTATAAAAATGAATAGATTCTCGGCTTCTATTTAATAAGACTAATTACATTCATGAACTTGTTTTGATTAAACAAATATATAGAATAGTGACAATTCATAATTGGTAAATAAGTAATATTTATATAATCACAATACACAATACACAATACATGTATTAAGTTTAATATTTAAAAAAAATAAATAAAGAAAACTTCATAAATTAATTTTTTATTCATTAATATATAAATTAATAATGATTTATCAATTAAATAATATCTCCATCAAAAAAGATCAAGTCTATTTTAAACTTAAGAAAATCCAAGCTCAAGTTTCAAAGTTTCAACAAGATCAATCTTCTTTTACCAAACTTTACAAACCTTGATCGAATTCTAATTTTTTTGGTTGGTTCACTTGATTTGAGTATCATTTTTGTAATATCCACTTATTTGTATCCAATCCTTACTAGAAGTTTGTAAGCATTAAAGTCAAAACCATTAACTTGTTGAGAGGGAAGCTCATCATATTCAACATCATATTCAACAAAATGTCCTTTTGATGACCTTATAAATCATTTCAATGGAGATCCAAAAACCCTTAACTTTTCAAACTAATAAGTAAAAGAGTCAAATTCATTAATTCTTGAGTAATTTCATCATTTCGCTCAGTAGATGAAGATTATTTCTTTCTATTTGCTTAGATAGTTCCCCTTTACCATTTTGTTGACGACGTGTAGGTTGGACTTCATTTACAAAATACCTTCCAAATAGAACTTAGGTAACGTTTGGTATAAGGGAAGTGAGAGCACATTCCCTGCAATATATCCAACTAAATTACATTGCAATGTTTGTTTTGCAACAGCCACTACAATGTAAGATTGCAATGCAATCACATTACAGCCAAAAGATGTAATGTGATTGCAGTCCAAAACTAATGTAATCACATTACATTGCACTCTACAATATTCTTAAAAACAATTTTACTCTTTAATTTTATTACCTTATTAAAAATATTTTATACTATTATAATTAAAATAAAATATATAATATAAGAATCAAAAATTTAAATAAAATAAAATATAAAAAAATAAAATTTATATAATATAGGTAAAACAAATTAAAATAAAATATATAATATAAAAATATATTAGATTATAATAATAAATGAAAATAAAATATATGACATTAAAAATATTTTTAAGAGATGATATTATATAAAAATTAATAATAAAAAATATAAATATATTAAAAATAAAATATATAAGATTATAATAATAAATGAAAATAAAATATATGATATTAAAAATATATTTAAGAGATGATATTATATAAAAATTAATAATAAAAAATATAAATATATTAAACTTGTATTTTAATAATTAGGGGTAATTTTAAAAATTAACATTACATTATCAGAAAAGTACTTGTAAACCAAACGCTACAATGATATTTTTTCTGCATTTTAATTATTATTTTGCTTGCATACCAAACACTGTAATGTTATTTTCTATGCAATCACATTACTTGTAATCACATTGCATTGTAAAGTATCAAACGCCACCGATGTGCCTCTATCGTAATAAATGGCTTAGAATCTGTAGCAATTGTTTTCAATTGATTATTTTTATAATTCTTAAAGTTATTATAACAAATTTGACTTAAGACAGTATATTTTAAAATGTGCTATTAAAAATATTTTTAATAACACTTTTTTATGCTTTTTAAAATATTTTTATAGATATAACTTCAATACTGTATAAATTTTTAGATGCATTATGAATAAAATGTAACTATAGAAATTGCATACACTAGCAAAAACTGTATATTTTTTATATTTTTACTAAATGTGAAAAAAGTGAAATTAAAAGTTTAAATAGCTACACATTTTAAGCTATTACCATACAAAAAAAAATGTTGTCTAAAGAAGTGTAATTAAAACTCAATTTTGTTGTAGTGAGTATTGATGGAGTGTTGGAGTGAACATACCATTTTTGTATATCTATAGTTGCCCTAATAACATGTTGCATGTCATCTTAGCATCAGTCAAATGAAATAATGGATTTGATTTTAGATCATCAATGAAAAGTAGGAGTATAAATTTCCTAAAAGACCTTTAATCCCTTTGATTGAAACCTTAGATCATAAAGTGACTTTACAATAGTTTATCTACATGAACTCCAAGCCTTTTCATTGTCTCCAAAAGGAGTATATGGACTGCAAATCCATCATGTATCAAGACTTAATCGATCTTTTGTTCATAAATACATAAGAGTCCGATTATGAGGAGTATACCCTAAGAATAAAAATTAACCTTTTTAGCGGTCAAATTTGTACACAAATTTATTGTCAAAAATAAGACAAGAAAATTCAAACTTCAACAAATAAAAATTTTATTAATTTTGAAAAGAAATCTTTTGATTCTTTAATTCAACTAATCCACTTCAAGGGTCTAAACGTTCTTGATCTTGGACGAACAAAATTTATCTTCTCCATTGGGTTCTTGAAAATTCTTGATTAGTGCTTTTAAGAATTTCTTTAGTTCTTAAGAATTTTTTCAATTCTTCAGAGCTTGAGATCTTGGAGACGTTTTGAATTTTCAAAATCCTTTTCTTTTTGTCTTCCCTTGTGTGTTAAATGGCTTCGAGGAGCACCATGAATTTATAGTGCCAAGTGAAAGAATTTTATACAATTCTAAT